TTAGGCAAAAGCGGCCTAAGGCCATCCACGTATTCGTCGCAAATAATCATCAGGATAGGTATAACCAAAATAATCGCAATTTTACGAATTGTAGCATAGCATACCTGTCAAAGTAATAAGTCGCGACGTAGAAACACAAATCAAAAAATTTATTTCAAAGTTCTCTTGAATTACCGTAAATCTACACAAATATACTATTTATCGTTTGTAAAAGTCAAGATTTGGTATCTGAATTCATTCTACTGTCAACGATACTTTAGACGGCATACTTGTTCTTCGAATTGCACCCGGAATAAAAATGAAGAAACACTGATCTTCGATATAAATTGTGCGCAACAGGGACAATTATTCATCATGGAGAATGTGCAATGTTGACGATATATACAGCAGGCGAACATGAGATCATACACTGAATTCAACGAAACAAGATACAAGTCAGTTATTTAAATTTCTCTCTGAACTCGTTGAAAATTATAAGCCGCGCTGAATAACGATTACTTTGAACAGAAAGATAAGAAATTCAAGCAAGTTATTCATTCAAGCATTAACTGTATTTTTCTATGTGAAACTGATATCAAAAGATCGAGTAAGAATTTCACAAAAGAAATCGACCTTACGAATCGCATATCCATCCAACATTCTCACAACGTAACATCCACTTTCTTTTAAATTATATTTTTAATTATTTCCTGTTTTTTTTTCTTTTTTTTTTCTTTTTTATTCTATAGACGTACATCGGAATTTACTACTACAGTCGACGTTTTTTTCACTACCTCACACATTTCTTCAATCTTAAACGTACACGCTATCGAACTAAAGCAATAACAATCTCAATATTTACATATCTATCTCATTAATTAATTATATGTATAATACAACTTGCAACTCTTTGCTACCAGCAATTTCTAGCAATAACATCTTGGTGCAAATAATCTGCCTCCCGGCTCTTCTCTCTGTATCTCAATCTTCTATATGACCATGAGAATTTATTCGTCATTGTTGACGTCAATGAGTCACGCGTCAGATACTTTCGAAATCAAGGAATTTTCGAATTTTCGAAAAGTATCAATGACAGCTGCATATTTCGCATTAATGATACAAACCTTCGTCAGCATACATAATGTTTGTGTACTTTGTACAATGAAGAAGCTAATCTTGTACACAACCCCATTCCAATTCAGGTAATATACATATATTACCAAACAGATAAACAAAAAATATAGACATCTGACTTTACGTGAATCAAAATATATTATACGTATAAATAAGGTGAAAGATGTGGTTGTATAACGCAGAGAATGAATGTAATTATTTCCTATGACTCGCACACGGTATAACAATCCACAATTTTCTTTGTTGCAACATCAAACATGTAATTGAACATATATGTATGATAATTATCCTGTGTTACCCGAGCTCAACGATGTATCATAGAAAACAGTGAATACCAAAAACGTGGAATTTGTATGAAAATTTCTATTTTCATGAAATAGATTACCGATTATCTGTTTTAAATAATCGGTTCTGCGTTCTTATATGAAAAAAAAAAGAAGAGGGAAAAAATGAAAGAGAAGTCAGATGTGGAATTAAAGCTGTACAAATAAAAATACTTGAGAGTTATTTTTAAGATGCAGCTGTTAGTAATTTTTCCCTTTCGGTTTTATCTACTGCTGACACATGATCAGGCTTTTCGCCTCGCGCATAACGTTCCCACATTTTTTTGTACAGCATTTCCATACCCGCTGCATACAACTTGCAATTGAATAACGGACTTTCCGATCTTGCTTTCCACACTTTGGCTCGCGTAGCTTTCAAGCTTAAATAGAAACAGTTGGTTAATATAAAGCTGTATACAAGGGACAGAAAAAAAAAAAATTTACTTACTATTCTCTGTCAGTGCCTAAACGAATAGCAATGTCCTGATATTCCTGACGTGTTCGTGCGATCAATTCAGGACATCCCAAAGTATTTAACTGACTAGCAGCAACGCGAGACGCTAGTGTTTCACCTGGTAGTGTAACCACTGGAGTTCCAGTCCATAAAACATCCATGCTAGTAGTGTGACCATTACAAAGCGGTGTATCTAAGCATACGTCAGCCAACTGTCCTCGTCGAACATGTTCTTCTTTCGCAGCAACATTGCTGAACAAGATCCTACCGGGAGCTAAACCTAGTTGTTGGGCTGTCGCTTGTAGGTTTGGCTCACCAACAGCCGGGAAACGTAGTAACCATAATACAGAGTTTGGCACGTGTTTTAGAATCTGAAATTTGGTGTCGACGTTCACATACAAATACGCAACAACTTTGGTAATGTAAATTTGTTAGGAAAATATGAATAAACTTACATGTGCCCACATATGAAGTGTGAGCGGATCGATCTTGTACAATTGATTAAAATTACAGTAGACAACTGCATCTTCTGGCAGACCATATTGTTGTCTCGTTGTGATCATGATATTTTGAGGCACTTCTTCACCCGTAGCTGTTTTGTTATTTACTTGTGTGGTGGCCATGCCGTTTTGAACTACAACGCCGTTTACAGACATTTGGCATTGTCCAGAAGCAATCATTGTCTCGATAGGAGTAGTAGTTGGCAGTTCCGCAACTTTCAACGAAATTTCTACTGGCTTATTTTTGGCATCCGGTACAACTACTTCGCGGATTTCTTTGACGCACGTATTTTCAATCATGGGAGAAAGATCAGTGGCATTTATCACAGCTACATTATCTGCTACTTTGCCTTTCATGTTCAACTTGTCCGTCAAAATAAGTCGTTCCTTTAAATGCGGGAACATTTGCCTTCAAAAATAAATATGTTTTAGAGGAAAAAAGAAAGAAAGAAAGAAAAAAAAACGATACCAATAAATTATACACGTAGTACTATAATCGTATATAATCTCGCAGACTTACTTGTGATCCCCGATGAAGTACGTGTGTGGCATGTAAGCAAGCTTCTCGCTATATTGACTAGCAAGTTCCACCGGCGATGTAACTTCGTCCGTAATTAAATAATCCATGAAACTAGCACCGGATGTTCCGGGATATCCAAGCCACATCACTTGAACCGGCGCCGGTCTCAGGGCGAATATTTCGTTTCTTGCTCCCTTTGTGTAGCCGTTCATGTTCACCAAAATGTGAATTCCGTCCGCGTTAATACGATCAGCTGCTTTCCCATTGCACGGAATCTGTGATAAATCAACGAAGTGTTCGGTTTCTCTAGCGATCTTTGCACGAAAAGTGGTCCCATCATCGGCACTGAGGGCATAACAAAAGATTTCAACGTTTTGCCTATCGTGCAAACCCGGGATTGACTGCATCAGGTGGCTAGTAGGATGGTTCCCAAAATCTGACGAAACGTATCCAATCTTCAAGCGAGTGCCAATTTCACGTGGGTACTTGTATGGTTGTTTATGTAGAACGTGTATCTGTGTAACAATTTGCAAAACAGTTTTTATCATTTGATATAAAGCGCCATGCATTTAAAAAAGAATACTTACCTTTTCGATGCAAAGATTTGCATGTCTAGCAGCAATGGCCTTTCTGAATTCGTGAGACAACGGGTAGAGCATGGAGTGGTGCGGATGCACGCTGGGCAATCTGTTCTTATCCAATTGTTCGGCAACGATCGAGACTAATTTCTTCATTCGAGCTTCGTAATCAGTCCAGTCGCAAACGATCTGAAGGCAGTGCGCCAAGTTACAATACGCGTCAGGGAAGTCGGGCTTCAGCTTCAGCGCAGTTTTGTACGATTGAATAGCCTCGGGAATGTTCCCGGAATCCTTGTGAATCGAAGCTAAATTGGAATGAGCGTCGGCGAAAGCGGGATTAATTTGTATAGCTCTTGTGTAGCATTGAAGCGCCCCTTGTATATCTTGCATTTCTTTCAGCGTGTTGCCCATGTTCGAGTACGCGTCCGCGAAAGTTGGCTGAATACGGATAGCCTCCTTGTAATGCATCAATGCTTCGTTCAATTTCCCTTGTTGCTGTAATACGGAAGCCAGATTGCTATGAGCTGCAGCAAAATCAGGAAATACTTCAAGCGCTTTCAGATACAATCGAGTTGCTTCTTCGATGTACCCTTGTTCGCGTTTTATGTTGGCCTAGAATGAAGAAATGCATCATCACAGTGACAGAAAGAAGAAACGACAGTTCACCAAACATATTCAGCCAATAAATCTGACTGCAAATATAAATACCAGATTATTAAGGGAATCGGCATGCGAAGGGCAAAGACGGAGAGCCGTGTTATAGCAATCCTCAGCCTCAGCCACTTGCCCCTTTTCCTTGAGCGCGTTCGCCAAGTTACAATAAGCATCTGGGAAATTCGGTTGTAGCTCGATAGCACGACGGTACGTGTCAATTGCCAAATCGATAAGTCTGCAAGAGAGCGGAAAAAAGAAAACAGATTAACACGCAATCAAAAATAATCAAAAAATCCTCACCGACGATTATACTTACCCTTGTTCGTAGTAAACACACGCCAAATTTCCGTGTACGACTGCATTGTTAGGACTGAGATTCAAAGCACGCAGGTAAGCAGCTACGGATCTGTTGTAAACAGAAAATTCACACGTCGTTAAAATTCATCGCACAATCAGCGAGAGAGAACATTTAGGTCGGTTCTCCGAACGAACGGACAGTGAATCACAAATTTCATTCGGCTTCCGATTTCACGCGAGTGAAAATACATGTAGAGAATTGCGACGTGGAAAAAGGTTGTAGCAATGGGCGATGTCACAATCGATCTCGAGTAAAATTTGCACACGTGTGTCGTTGCACGTTGTTGTAACGCGTGATACAAAAAGCAAAAAAAAAAAAAAA